AAAGTAGAGTGTCAGCCCTACAGGCAGCGAGCTTTAAAATGTTGAGTCCACCCTGCTGTGAAGCACACTGCCACTGCTAGCCGATGCCACGCTTGTCTGCTTCTGTTCAGATCAGTTCCTGCGTTGGCTCTCGCCATCTGTTGGGAAGTAGACCCAGCCGCTTCCAGAGCTGGAGAAAATCCAAGCCGGTGTCTGCTGGTTTCGCTACATTCCGACTAATTTGATGTCTTTATTGGTAGGTTTATGTAAAATGCTTCTCAGAAACACATCTGCCCGTCGTCTACATTTTTTAACAAGCATTTCTGAGAAAAAACAAATGYCAGTTCTACTAAAGCAGCTGAATCAGATGATGAGGTGCTGCCACCATGTTGCACCTCATTGCTGCTGATTCTTAAAGATCTGCTTAGTAAGTAAGTAAGTAAACTTTATTTCTATAGCACCTTTCACAGACACAAACATCACAAAGTGCTTCACAGAAAGCAAAAAGAACTAAAAACAATAAAACAGATCACAGATATAAAAACAACAGTTAAAACACAATAAAAAGCACATTAACTAAAAGCCTGTCTGAATAAAAATGTCTTAAGATGTTTCTTAAAAGAGTCAGAAGAATCTGAACAGCGAAGGGACAGAGGGAGAGCGCTTCAGAGCCTCGGTGCCACTATCTGAAAAGCTTTGTCTCCACGGGTTTTATAATGGGTTCAAGGGACCACCAGCAGGATTTGATTAGAAGACCTCAAAGTCCTGGATGGACAGAGAGGCTTCAGAAGGTCCAGTATGTATTTGGGGGCCTGACAATGAAGTGCTCTGAAAGTTAAAACCAAAATTTTAAAATGACTCCTCAAAGTCACAGGGAGCCAGTGCAGAGAGGCTAAAACAGGTGTAATGTGGGCTCTCCTGTGGGTCTTTGTTAATAACCTCGCTGCAGCATTCTGCACAGACTGAAGCAGAGCCAAGGAGGATTTGTTTAGACATGTAAAAAGACTGTTGCAGTAATCTAAACGAGAAGAAATAAAAGCTAAGATTTAATCAGATGCATCTCTAAAGGTTTAATTACATTTTTACTAATATTTGCAATATTAAGTTAACAAYGTAAAATGCATTAACACTCTCATGTCAGCTCATGGTTCAGATCAAGAGTGGTTCTCAATTCTGGTCCTTGGGACCCCCTATCCTGCATGTTTTAGTTGCTTTTGAAATGAACAAGTGATTGGCAGGCTTCTGCAGAACTTAAAGACATGCTGAAGAGCAGAGAAACAACTAAAACATGCAGGGTAGTGGGTCACGAGGACTGGAATTGAGAACCAAGTGTAATGACATTTATTCATTTTATTAAAGCTGCACTGAGTAAGTTTTCATAATTAATCATAGACATAAATATTAACTTTGAGAAATAAAGTTAAACATATCTACTTTTGAAAGTAAATTCCACTATTATCTTTACCTGCTTTTTCACCCCAGGCAGCTGATATGTCCAGCAGAGGGGGACACTGTGGACAAGTCACAGATCCATCACGGGACCACAAATTGAGATAAACAAGATGATTGTTCACACTTCTACTCATACCGAGAGGTTATTTAGAGGTACAAGTTAGCCAAACATGTATGTTTGTGGTCTTTGGGAGGTAACTGATGAAAGCTCATGTGTGCACAGAGAGAACATGCAAACTTCACCCAGAAAAACCTTTTCTGTGTCTCAACTCAGGTATTGCTGTCCACATAGACTACGGCCCACATTGGCCACACCCTACCTGGGTCGTAGGCCATCAGTGTAGGCTGCATAAATGGCTGCAAGATGGTCTAGTCTATGGATGGACTATAGGGGTTGGACAATGAACCTGAAACACCTGGTTTTAGACCACAATAATTTATTAGTATGCATAAGGCCTCCTTTTGCGGCCAAAACAGCATCAATTTGTCTTGGGAATGACATATACAAGTCCTGCACAGTGGTCAGAGGGATTTTCAGCCAGTCTTCTTGCAGGATAGTGGACAGGTCACTATGTGATGCTGGTGGAGGAAAACGTTTCCTGACTCGCTCCTCTAAAACACTCCAAAATGGCTCAATAATATTTAGATCTGGTGACTGTGCAGGCCATGGGAGATGTTCAACTTCACTTTCATGTTCATCAAACCAATCTTCCACCAGTCATGCTATGTGTATTGGTGCATTGTCATCCTGATACACAGTACCGCCTTCAGGAGACAATGGGCCTCATGCAAGAACATGTTCGTATTCTTATCCTAAATTTCTCTTACTTTTGTTCRTACAAAGAGTTCGTACRAACATGTCACATCAGATTTAACAAACTCTTCTATCTTCAGGAAAAGTGTGTAAATGAGCTGCGTAAACTGATGAAGGCATTTGCATCCACAGTTAATCCTGTTGGATGTGGTTCGTCCTTTTTGGTGGTATGCTGACATTATCCTGGATACTGTGGCTCTTGGTACATCACAAAGACTTGCTGTCTTGGTCACAGATGCTCCAGTAAGACGTGCACCAACAATTTGTCCACTTTGGAACTCTGGTATGTCACCCATAATGTTGTGTGCATTGCAATATTTTGAGCCAAGCTGTGCTCTTACCCTGCTAATTGAACTTCTACACTCTGCTCTTACTGGTGCAATGTGCAATTAATGAAGAATGGCCACCAGGCTGGTCCAGTTTACTCATGAAACCTCCCACACTAACATGACAGGTGTTTCAGTTTCATTGTCTAACCCCTGTAAATTTACTTGATGCACTGTCCCGTTGCCACTGTGATATGTTTTATATTGCATCCGTTCAGTTGTCTTTACATAATGTCATAAAATTCAGTATTAAAATGTTACTTGTAAATGAATAAAAAAAGCATTAATAATTTGGGTTTAGCTCTAGTACCTATATTTTATTCGTCATCACTTTTCAACATAATTGTCATCACCTAAGATGCTAAACATGCATTTAAAAACTAATAAATTGGTCTGTGATAAATTTCCAAACTCTGTTGTAGAAAAAATAAAAGAAAGCAAAAAACATCTTCATTTTTCTGTTTAGTTTGCTGACGGAGCAATGCATCCTGGGATATCCTCGGCTGCACAGCATACTCAGCTGCAGCCTGAGCTTTGAACTTTGAACTTTGGCTACAACCCTCAATTAAGACACAGGATAGTCCTTAAAAGCAAATTAAGATAAAACATTTTTTTTCTTTTACTGATATAATTCATACTTTCCTCTGCGAAGTGGAAAAACCGAGGCAGTTTTTACAGTTCGTGTGTGTGTGATGATAAAATGATAAAAACATAAATAACTAACAAGGTCAATGAAGCACATTGTTTATCTCTGTGAGTTTGTAACCAGTGACATTTACAGCACTAATCATCATTATCGTCAAAGCATTCGATTTGTTCAGGCTGAATGACCCTCACTTTTCTTGAAAAATGGGATACATCTATAATTACATCATATTTATTATTCTTTAAGTCCTTACTTATACTTTGACTTTGCTTTGGCAGAACRCATTATTACAAAAATACAGCAACAACTCTGTAATCCTGACAGAGTTAAAAGCAACAGGTGTAAAAGTGGAGTTGTCTTTGATTTTATTTATTGGGTCTGAAAGACATAATCTATATCAGCATTACATTTCAGTTGCTTGTTTTTTCTTTTTTTCCTTTTTTGTAAATCCAATTATATCCAGTTTACATCTGAAGTTACACACTGAACCTCAACTGTGATTTGTTTTTTACGCTCACAGAATTAAAATCTTTTTTGTGCTATTAAAGTTTTTCCTCTTGTATGTAAATTGACAATTTATCAACATTTTCTGTTTCTGTTTGTTAATTGGATGATTTGAAATCTAATATTAAACCTGGCAATACCTAATATTAAAGCATTGCTATCACACATCTAACATATTGTTTTATCAGTTAAAATTAGTACAAATTTATGAGTTGTTGAATATCATATTCTGCAGGTTATGTTTGGAGCTCATAAAATGTGTTACCTTCAAACAAATCTAATCAAATTTTGTTGAAAAGGAAAGCTGCTATAATTTGAAGGGACTACAAATGTTTGTTAAACCAAACATCCGAACAAACTTAAAGGACAGATGCACTTCAGTAAAAGGTATACAGTATCTGGAAAATGATTATAAAAGCATTGGATCAATTAATTACTTTAAAAATGATCTTGTTAAAGAAATATGAAATTGTTTAATTTGTATTTGTATGAGTTAATGTTTGAGGAGTTAAACG